AAAGAGGAGGCCATTACTCCTTAATCCCAGGCAGCCTGATACCTCCAGCTTTTTTTAAAGGAATTGTTCTATCTAACACCTGACTCCTTGGGGACCAGGATCCAGACCCTACCTACCACTACTACTATGCTTTACAACCTAATCAAATCCCAAAGAAAGGATTCAGTTTCCAATTCTCCTCCCTCACTGCCCTGTTGCCTTGTGTTACATTTTGTTTTGTAGCATGTTATGTGCAGTTCTTCAAAGGCCTCATCAGTACATTATGTGAACACCAAGAACAGAGACACAGGCATCAGTCAGGGCCTGGTCGGGTTTGTCAGACAGTGAGGTTGAAACAAAGGTTGTATGGAATGAGTTGATGCATTAGGGGTAAGAGCCAACACCTACTGTTCTGTTTTGTGGGTGACTAGTGTCCACTCAAATTCTAAGCTGCATGCTCCTTACACCCAGCACATTCCTGACCTCTTCTTCTTATCTCTACTTACTAAAAAGGGACCAGTTAAATATCAGCCCAAATCTAATAAAAACTGGACAGTGATTCTCCAAAAAACAACCAATCTAAACCAGTCACTGTATATGATACAAGAAAAAAAAAAAAAAAAAAGAAGAGATCATTGTGAGGGCTTCAGTTGGGATAAAAGCCCACATCTTTTAGCCACAATGACAGGTGCAAGATCCTGAGCCCACATATTCTTTAGAGCTCAGTTACTTTAACACCAGTAAGTGGAGGGTGTGTAGAAAGTATCTGAATGACTTGTAGCTCAAGAACCCACATGGAATACTAATACTATAGTGCAGGAAAATTGCAGCCCCAGAGATGGAGGTACCAGGACAACAGGACTGAGAGAGAATCTGAAGTATTTTGTATATCTAGGAAGAGACAGGAAGGAGACCACACTGCTGGATTCTCTACTCCAACTGTACAGAAAGGAGCTAAGAGATTTGTATACTCCGAGGACACTTAGATCTTGCTTTCCTAACTTGTATTCCAAGTTACTGTGGGCAGGACATTATCAAGGAGTGTGGGGCTGGTATTTGGAACCACCACAGGACATTTGGACAACATGAACTCATAGGACCAAAAAAATAAAATACCTAAGTCTGACTAAAAGATCATTATCACACAACTCCATCAGAAGAAGGCTATGTGTACTCTCCTTTGGCCTTAAACACACTGACAGAAATGGACTTAATAGATTTTAGTCATTTTAAAGCCAAATTTGATAACTGGAACATAATTTTGCAATGTTACTGGAAGGGTTTTATGTACCTGTAAAGTTTTAGGCAAAGCCAATGGGCCTCAAAAATACACAAATCCCATATAGTCCTGAAGGGAGCATACATAGGTTGGAACAGCTAAAGGGTATTGTGACAAATGTCTCACAAGTCTTAAAAATGTACACGGCCTTTAAACAAGTATTTCCTATTGTACAAATCTAGTCTAAGGAGATAGTCAAAAATGTAAATAAAGCCAGGTATGGTGGCACATACTTGTAATTCCAGCACTCAGGAGGCTGAGGCAAGAGGATCACCATGAATTCAAGGGCAGCCTGAGCTACATAGTGAGTTCACATCCAGCCTAGCATATGCAGAGAGACCGTGACTCAAAAAAACAACAACAAAAAAAAGGACTGGGGATTTAGCTCAGTGGTTCCACTGCCTGCCTCACAAGCACAAGGTCCCGAGTTCAATCCCCAGTACCAAAAAGAAAAAATAAATAATAATAATAATGCAAATAAAGATTAAGATGCAAAAGATGCAAGACACCCATGACAGAATTATTTAGAATAGGGAAATGTTAGAAAAGAATTATAATTTCCAGCAAATAAGAAAATGGATTTTCAATTAGGATATATATTGCAGTAGCTAATGTTGACTGTCAATTTGATTGGCCTATGTGACACCTAGATTAATAAAGCAGATTTTGGGGTGTATATGGGTGAGTCAAGAAGGCATGGCCTTGGAGACTGTATCTAATCTCTGGTCCTTTCCTCTTTGGTTCCTTCCCTGGCTCTCGGCTTCCTGGCTGCTCTGAGCTGAGGAGCTTTCTTCCACCATTCTTTCCACTGTGGTGTTTATGCCTTGGTGACAGCCAGCGATGAACTGAAACCTCTGAAACCATGAGCCAAAATACACCTTTTCTCCTTCAAGTCATATTTTATGTCGAGTATTCTGTCCCAACAATGTAAAGTTGACCAACATGATGGAATGTCATGAAACCAGTGAAATTATGGTGTAGATCCAATTTTATCAACATGGAAAGATATTATTCATGACATAATGCTAAGCTTAATGAAGTACATTTTTGCCTGTGCAGGCGCTGGAAGCACTGAGCTAAACCCCTGGCCCTATCAAGTACATTTTTATTGACCTACTACACAACAACTTGAGAAGATACAATACTTACCCTCATAAACCTTCTAAATGCCTAGAGAAATCAGATACCAAGGAAGTATTTAGAAAAGAAAAAGTATAAGGTATTTTGCAGGTAAGTAATAAAGGCATTTAACTTAGTCCAGAGGAGTCATGGAGGGACCTTTGGAGAAAGTGATGCTTAAGAGGTAATGAGAGATCAATACAAGTTAGGCAAGCAAAGAGACAAACAGGAAAAACAACCTAGAAAGAGGAATAGCAATTTTTTAAAATACATATATTAAAAAAGGCTATTGAGCTATATATAAAAAATGAATCCATTTATGTTGAAAATATATTTTGGACACACATATGTTTATAAATACAAAATGAAAGGATATGAACCATACTCTTACATAGACATTATAGTGCATGTATCTTTTTAATTTCTGCTTACTCACATTTTCTGACTTTCTGTAACCAACATATGTGAAGAGTATTAAGACGTATGGGCAAATGTGTGGGTAGAAAGATGAACGAAAGAGTGGAAAAACTTGGATAGTCACCAGATGGACACTGCGTTACAGCACCCATTGTACAAACATTACATCGATTCTTTCCTCCTTTTAATTACTAAAGCCTAAGATCTGTACCAGGAGCATATTTTCTACTAATTTCTACAATCACTTTATTTCTTCTATGGCCATTCTACCACCTCTGAGACAAGTTGATTATCAAAAATGGACCCAACAGGGGCCGGGGATTTAGCTCAGAGGTTCTGCCGCCTGCCTTGCAAGCACAAGGTCCTGAGTTGGATACCCTGAACAAAAAAAGAAAAAAAAAAAAAGTGGACCCAACAGCATAATTAATTGCAATTCCAAACAGCTTTCTCTCTCAAAACTGGACTTTCCAAACCACACAAACAAAGACTGCCTGGCAGAGCTATTTATTGAAGTTTATTTAATAGTCATTTAGCTAAATAACTACTGGGGACAAAATAAATTGTTTTTTAAAAAGAGAGATGGATAGAGGAATGAGAATAAACAATTAGAGTGAGATCACAATAAAGGGAATGTGGCTCAAAATTTCCAGGTAGTCAGCTCAGCTGATTTTCCAAGCTGCAAAGTGAATGAAATCCCTGGCCCATACCTCAAGGCAAGGGAAGAGTGCTTGGCCACTTAAGCAGAGGTACAACTCCAAATTGAGATCAGCTCCTTCACATGATGAGCCAAGGGAAACACATGTACAAGGTACCCTCACAGCACAAGTGCCAAGGTTCTCTCAAAAAGAATAACTTGCCCAGTTGTGTGCTCAATTAGAAAAAGCATTAAAGTGAATTTAGCAAAAATGTTCTGCACCAACCACTCTTAGCAAACTCATGTTCTTTCTTTCAACATTCACTGGCCACCTTCTGTGATAGGCACGGATGGCTTAACATTGACAAGACATGCTTCCCACATGCCCAAAGCTCAACATTTCATTCACTTATTTAAAAAAATATTTGAGTCCTATAACATGCCAGGCACTCGGGATTAGTAACAAACATGTTCAACAAGGTTCTACCTTTATGGGTCTTATATTCTAGTGAGGAGAGACAGGTAAAAAACAAACATAAATACGTAGTAAAATGTTTATCAGAATAAGTGTGATGAAAAAAGTCTAGTTATCAGCTAGATAGAGGTTTGGTGTGGAATTATGGTTAGTGTAGTCAGAGGAGCCTTCCCTGGAGAGGAGAGGAGACATTTACAAGATGAAAAGCAGCTAGTTACATAGCTACGTAAGGGCATGGGCATTGCAAACAGACCAGAATGCAGAGCAATGATTACTGCACTCAGAGCGGCTACAGGGAACTCGGAAAACGTGGAAGTGACACCTGACCCAGCCCAGGGGGCTCTCAGAAACTGAAATGGCCTCCTTCTGCAGCAGTGATTTACACAGCACTGCACGTCCCTGATTCAGAAATACTTCTCTTAAAAACTAGAGACAGGAAGATTCCCCCATTGGTTTCAGAGAATTCAATCCAGTTATAACATTACATGAAACAGTTAGACAAGGCTATCCCTTTCATAGGCATGCCCAGAAAAGAGGGACCTCTGGTATTAATTATTCCTATGTCTCATCTTCCCAGACCCCACCATCACTTCTCCAAATCCTTTCCACACGTCTATAAAGGCTTCCTGAAATAGAGAAGAACAAGATGTGAGCCTGACAGTGCGACACTGGACCAGCTGTCAAGAAGCCAGGTCCCACTCACTCAGGATGTGACCTTGAGAAAGTCCCTTTCCTTCTCCCACCTCACCCCGTCTGCACAATGAGAGATCAGAAAGCCTGACAATGTTCCCAGGAACCAACAAGGTTAACCAACTCCCCCAGGGGTCATGAAGCATGCCGAAGCTCCAGAGTAACAGACTATACGATTCTACCTCCTTTTTCCTTGTGGTGGACAAGGAAGGGGCTACATGTCCAACTGGCCTGGCTCAGATTTTGGTTCCCTCAAGATCTTCATAGTGCCAAGCTGAGAAGAGAGAAGCTCTCATGGTAGATTTATAGTCTTCTCTCTCCTCGCTCCCATCATGCCACCACCCTCTGTGTTCTCCCAGTGGAGTGGCAGTCCCATACCCAAGGGTACTGTGTGCCCCTCGCCATACCTGTGAACATCGCACAGAAGTAAGGGCTGCAGGCTGCCAGGACCACACGGTGGGCTTCTATCTCCACATCTTCTGCCACAATCATCACATCACACAACAGCTGCTTACTGTAAGGGGACAGGATGGGGACAGAGTGGTCACAGTATGGACACCTATCCCCATCATACAAAGGTATTTTTATTTCCCACCCAGATTTCATTCTATCACCACACAAGGCTGCCATAGAGATTTGCTGTCTTGATGTAGGCAGGGCGATGGATTTGTTGACTTTTATAAATCCTGATACACCTCCCACTCAAGCTTTCATAAAGTATAAAGAGATCCAACTATCCTACGGCTGTAAATTCAGGGCTGCTTAATTTGTCTTCACCTCTCCACACCACAGTTCCATCACTCTGACTGAGAAGCACTGAGACAGTGTCTAGGGAGTAGTGGCAAAAACTTCGGGCTGTCAGTTGAATGACTGAATAAACGCAAGGAACATGGGCATGCCACTGAGGTGTGCCACCAGCAAGAGAAAGTGCTGATTCTTAAAGGCTTCCATGGTAGTATTATGGTTTTGATCAAGAATGTCCCAAAAGGCCTCACATGCTCAAAGGTGGCACTTTTGACAGGTGAATGACTCACGGGATGACATAGCTGACTTGCTGTTAGGCCGCAGGGTCCATTCAAAGGAGGCAGGTCACTGCTCAGAAGGGTATATCTCCCTCCATGATTTCTCCTTTCTCTGCTCTCTGGGTGCAATAACAAGCACAGCTTTCCTCTACCCAGGCCCTTGCACTATAACTTCTTGCCTTGTAGTCAGCCAACGAGGGACCAAAAACTCTAAAAAATTAAGCCAAAATAAGTTTATCCTCCTTTAAGTTGTGAGTGTTGGGTATTTTGTCCCTGCAAGGAGGAAAGTGTCTAAAATAAACTATTTGTGCAATGCTGGTAAGAAGTCAGACTCTGGAATTCTCCTCCCACCTAGATCTAACACCATCACCAAGAAGACTACCTGCACACGCAGCGTTCCCTGAAGACCCTGTGCAAACTCCTATCATTGCAACTATTAGGAATAATGTAATTTTCCTTTGTATGTGATTGTCACCCCATCACACTGTAAACTTGGAAAAGGAATTGTCCTATCCACCTTTGTATCCTAGGCCCCTAGTTTCATGCCTAGCACATAGTAGACCTGGAATTTTTCTGACCAAATGAATAAATAAGAGGGAATCAAGCTACATTTAGAAAGAAAATGGATATCTGACTACTTTAGAGATTCACAGGGTGCCACAAGTCTCTATCAATCCAGGAATTGTTCTTTTATCAGCCTTCTAAGGTCGTATCATTCATATTATTAATATAATAGCAGTTATGAGTTACTGGTGCCAGGCACTGTTCTAAGCACTTTTTATACACATATTGTTTCATTTAATTCTGTCTACAACCCAATGAAGAGGGTTAATTATTATGACAAATATAAAAATGAGGAAATTGAGGTACAGAGAAGTTTGGTATAACCTTCTCAAGGTCACAAAGAAAGGGAACATGGGAAAGTTGAAACCGGATTTTAATGCAAGTAGCTTAAACTCAGGGCACATTGACTGGTGCCCTGGTCACTAGCGACTCCTTTAGATTAAAGCACTGGAGGGCCGGGCATTTAGCTCAGTGGCTCTGCACCTGTCTCTAAAGTACAAGGCCCTGAGTCCTATCTCCAGTATGAGGGGGGCAAGAAAAAAAAAGCACTGGAGACAGGAAGGCAAGGAGTACAAACATTATTTCAAGTGTAGTTCACTGGTAGTGCTTCACAAGATCTAAGGTCACGTCTGGGCTCTATGTAAGGATGTGGAAACTAGTTAACAAGTCTGCCATGATTGAAAGATGGAAAATAAGCTACATACAGTATTTGCTATCTCTGATAAAGTACATTAAGCCACTGTCAACTACTAAAACATTAGTTTAGGTTCACTTAGAATCATAAGGCATGACAAAACCCAAGCTGCAAATGCCCTTAAAAATCATCTGGTTAGGCCATGGATGAAGCTCAGTGGCACAGCGCCTGCCTGGCAAATGTGAGGTCCTGAGTTTGATCACTGGTAGCAGAAAAAAAAAATCATCTGGTCTATGAAAGCCAGAGAAGTGAAGAGAAGCCGAGCCCCAGAACCTGAATCTTGAATCTAGCTCTCTTGACTCCATATACAGTGTGGTGCTTTTTCCACTGTACCATAAAGCATTGCGATGCGTTAATACTTCAAATGGGAAAAGACAGAAGATAGGTTATTTCCAGCAGGTAAGGGTGGTCAAGAAATGTTCAGCATGGGGATTAAAGTATGAGTAAGGAGGTTTCTGGAAAGGGTAAGGCCTTTGGGCACAAAAAAGTAAAACTAAGAGGTTAGAAACTCACACTGCACTGACAACAAACCTTACATGGCAACTTTATCAGAATAACCAGTACAAACAAGAATAGAACTGACTCTGCCCTACAGGGCTACAATTACATGGGCAAATAAGCTCACCACTGTTTTCTCACCTGTCTTAGCTGCCTTTGGGACACAAATCTTGGAGATCAAATGGGATGGCACCTAAGCTCTGGTAAAAGTTATTGTAAAAATGTATTCTCAAAAGAATAAACTTACCTTGGACATTTTAACTTCTATTAAAGATACATTCGATTCCCAGTACCCCCCACACACAAAAAAAGATTATACAGAGAAAGTAGAGTCATCATTGCTGTTTAAGAGTAACCAATAGTGTTTTCAGTAAGCAAGATTTGAACGATGAAATTGTTAACAAGGAAAATTCAGAAAGGCTAAACTAATTTTCAGGGCTAGAAGTAAACAAGCAAATGTCAGAGTACGATATCTTGTATAAATGCAATGATGTGGATAATTCCCAAGTAAATGGGGAAAAGTCAAGGAGGAATACAGATGGCAAATTCAATTAAGCAAATAAATGAGAGCCATTCTGACAGTTGGGAAGTAGTTCTCAATGCCAGAGAAATTCTCACCTAGGACCATAGGTATGGCAGCTAAGCTGAATTGTCAAGTTGACCAGATAAGAAAGGGAAGAGGAGCATGGAGCCACAATAGGTAACGGGGGATAATCGAACAGCTGAACGTGCTGTTAAGAGGTGAGGTCCAACTGGAGGAGGTGGGACCCAGCTAGAAGAGGTGGGTCCCTGGAGCGTGCTTTGGGACAGAACATCTCTCTCACTCATACTGTTCCCCTGAACAGCTTCCTGGCCACCATTAAGTATCTCTGCCCTGCCACCTTCCACCATGACGCGTCTGCCTTGCAGCCAGAACCATGGACCAAAACCACTGAAACTGTGATCCAAATAAATTTCTCCTCCCTAGTCGCAGGTATTGGATATGTTGTCCAGCAACAGGATATCTAATACAATGGGTACAAGAAAGCTGCAGAAGACTCAAAGGAGGCTTTCCCCGAGGAAGGGGAGGCCTGTCTACATACTGCAGACATCTCTGTCTCCACCTTACATGGGAAGAGACAGCTTCAAAGCCTGCATGGCCCACAAGCACACCTATTCAACTCATCAGAGGGAGTAGGGATCCTTTTCTTTCTGAGCTATGCTACTAATCCAAAGCACAATCTTGAACAGAAAAAAGTAGTACTACACACTTTATCATTTGTGAAAAAGTACAGTACAGATGCCAGGAAGGTGCTCTGGCACTAGAATCAAAATGAATAGTGTTTATCTTGTTAGCAAGTATATAATATCCCCCAACTGTTACCGACTTGAGATATTAAAAAGGAGATAAGGCATAGGGCTAATCATGGCACTCAGCAAATGTTAGCTTATATCTTTTCTTTTTCCCACAAAATATTTCCTTTAAGATTAGAGGTTAAGTGTTGGATGTGTTGAGTTTGAGCTGCCTATTGGACAGATAAGTGGGGTTATCAAGCAGACAAGTGGAGAGATGCATGGGTCCAGGGTTTACAGATGGGAGAAGATAAAAAGATGATGGGGCTGAGCACAGTGGTGCATGACTGTAGTATGAGCTGGTCAGAAGGCTGAGGCAGGAGGATCACAAATTCAAGGTCAACCTGGGAAATATAATGATTCTATTTAAAAACAGAAGATGAAGAACCAGCAAAATAGAGAGTGTGGTATAGAGAGCATACCATATAGAGGGTATAAAGATTTTATATAGATTTACAGAATAAAATTGAGAGTCTAGAAACAAATCCTTACATTTATGGTCAAGTGATACAAGTTTGCCAAGACAAACTGGGAAAGAATAACTTTTCAACCAATGCTAGGACAACTGGATATCAATACGCAAAAGAATCAAATTGGATCACCTCACTCCATACATAAAAATTTACTTAAACTGAGTCAAAGTCCTAAGTGTAAGAGCTAAAGCTACAAAGTTCTTAGAATAAAACATAGAGGTAAATCTTCATGACTTCAGATAAGATAATGGTTTCTTGGCTATGACACCAAAAAATACAAATAATAAAAGAACACCTGGTAAGTTAGATATCCAAATTTAAAATACTTGTGCTTCAAAGGAGACCATCAGGAAAGAAGCCAATCCACTGAATAAGAAAATGTTCTTATAAGTTATCTACCTGAAAATGGGCTTGTGTAAAAGAAGAATCCAAACTCTTAGAACTCAATAATAAACAGAGAAAAATAACCCAGTGTTGGAGCACTGGCAGATTGGGACATGAGGATTAGCTATTCAAGGCTAGACTGGGAAACTTAGCAATTTAATGAGACCCCTTGGTTAACAAGTGTTAAAGAGGAACTGAAGAAGTTGGAATCTTCATATACTGTTGATGGAAATGTAAATGGTACAGCTGCTTTGGAAAACAGTCTAGCAGTGCCTCCAAAGGCTACAGAGTTGCTATATCCCCATTTCCATCCAGAGACTCCAAAAGCGAAAACACATATCTACACCAAAATGGGTGCCTCAAGGCTTACAGTAGCAGTATTTACTCTAGCCAAGAACCAGTTTTGTCATATCTAAATAATGAAACATTATTCATCAATAAAAAGGAATGAAGTGCTGAGACACACTCTAACATGGATGAACCTTAAAAACATTGTGCCAGGCTAAAGAGGGAAAACACAAAAGACTACACATATTGTATGATTCTAAAATAAGCACATCCATGAAGATAAAAAGTAGTTGTTGCCTGGGACTACAAAGGAATAGGAGAATGAAGGCAGGGGGAAGAAGTGGAAGGGGGTGACTGCTAAAGTACACAGTGAGTGATGAAAATATTCTAAAATTGCATAACTCTGTGAATATATTAAGTCATTAAATTTTATGTTTTAAATAGGTATGGTTATACGGCATATTCATTATATCTTTATAAAGCTGTTGCCAAAAAAAGGGAAGCAGAAAGCAATGTGCTTAGATCATTCGGTACTAGTACTAAAAGCATAGGGACAGAGAGAGAGAGAGAGAGAGAGAGCACAGAGAATTGAGTACAATGGTGAAATGAAGGGCCAGGGATTTAGCTCAGTGGTTCTAGCACCTGCCTCGCAAGTACAAGGACCTGAGTTCGATCCCCAGAACTGGAAAAAATAAATGGGGGCCAGGGATTTAGCTCAGTGGTTCCACTGCCTGCTTCACAAACTCAAGGTCCTGAGTTCAACCCCCATATAAAAAAAAAAAAATCCTATGGATGCTATTTATAATGGTGAAATGAAAAGTTAGAACTATCAAGAGGCCAGCAGTATAGTTCAGTTGTAGAGCATATGCTTAGCATGTACCAGGCCCTAGGTTCCCAGCAAGAAAAGGGGAAAAAAAAATCTGCTCAAATGAGATAAGAAAGCCTATGAATTTCAATACTCATTGGCTTCTTCATCCTTCATGCTCTCTACTTTTCAAACCTGGTCAGGGCATCCTATTCTGAAAATGACTTCATCACCACTACTGGAATGTCAGGAGCCAAAGAGTCACTCGGGCTCTTCTGCCCAGAAGGACCAGGGTCTGGCCAGAGCAGAGCAATGAAGTGCCAAAGGAGGAGGCAGCCTGGACAGTTACCATACCAATGGCCCATTCTCTACCGTGGAAGTAAAAAGAATAGGAAGCTCATGAATTGTGTGATTCGTAAACTGCAAAGATCATGTGTGCTTGAACTGAAATAGCTTAAGGGAGGGGAATGTGAAAACAATGCAAAAAAAAATACTAGGTCATTGGAATATCATGCTACATTTCATTAACTTAATCCTTATGTGGCAAAATACATGAATCCAGGTCTTCATCAAAACAAAATATGTCCACCCTCTCTCTAGTTCACATTAAACTTATATAGATCATTAAGTGTCAGTTCCAGCTCTCTTTCCCCCTGCCTCACCTATTCCATTCTAGTTTGTTTTTTTGTTTTGTTTTGTTTTGTTTTTTGGTTTTTGGTTTTTTTTTTGGTACCGGGGTTTGAACTCAGGTCCTTGAGCTTGCAAGGCAGGCCACCGAACCATTCTGGTTTTTAAAAGTTGGACATTTAGATATCTCGCTTTGGCTATTATAAGAGTACAAGCTTCACTGAGGGTAAGAGTTTGACTCTCTTTTCTACTGCCAAATTCCTGTAACCTAGTGTGGCACTTACATCATCGCCGTTGCCATCATCACCACTAACACCACCATCATCATCATCACCATCATCTGGCTAACACAGAATATTCATTGTGCGTCAGGGACTCACAGAAATAGCTAAAGAATATTATGCTGCAGGTAGCTGAAATAACTAATTCTACTTCTAGGAATTAATTCTATAGAAATAATTATGAATGTGCAAAAATAGTTAACAATAGTAATATATATGCTCTCACTTTTCTAAGCACTTTATTTATTAATCCTCTTAACAGCCCAGCAAGACTAGCACTATTATTAGGCCCCTTTTATGCTACACAAAAGCAAGGTCAGGCAGATTAATTAACTTGCTCAGAGTGAAATCGGTAAAAACTACAGCCAAGATTTTTAAACTAGAGTCTACACTGTGACCACTACATTATACTGCAACAAAGATAACCACCACAGGTGTATTTATGGGAGGAGTTAGGAAAACCTAGACATACAAAAGGAACTGTTATTTTAAGATACTCCAAAAGTAAATATCATTTATCCATTTAATATAGAACAGTGAAATAGAAAAATGTATTCAACAAAATTGGATATATACATATATTTGAGAAAAGGATATTCTCCGAAGTGTTACCAATAGTATTAAAATTATACATTACTTTGTGCTTGTCAGTAATTTCTAAATGTTCTTCAATAAATATATTCATTTTACAAAAAAATAAAATTGAAAGAGAACTCCATATCTAAACTTGAACTAAAGATTTCCCAGACATATACAGATTGTGGTCTATTTAACAAAACAAAGAACAAAAAAAAAAGAGATTATTCATTTAAATTTAAGCAAAGGGCTTTGTCTGGTATTTAAACCAGTGTTTTCTAAAGCAAGTTGCACAAAATATTCAGTCCACACATAACAACTAAATGTGTGGGGAAATATTCAAACAAGTTTACTGCAGTACTTCTCAGAATGTTTAACATTCCATATACACTATGGATCTCAGAGAGGGTGCAGTATATAACATTTTTCAAATGCATTTCAAGCAGCAGGACTATTAGAGTAGGTTAAATCCAAGACATTGCTTTGGGAGGAGGACACAAAAGCCTAGTAACTTGTAGCAGAAGCAATGAGGACTTAGGATACACTGTTAAAAAGACATTTAAGATGAAAAGAGGTTAATAAGAGAAAGTGGGTGTAGGGAGAATCCTGTATACATGTCTATTCCCTGAGTTCTGCCTTCAGTGCTCCCTGGAATTGACTATACCAAGCAAAATAAGAACCAGTGAGAGAACTAGATCCCTGAATCAGATAAAGGACACAAGTGATACTCAAAAGAACCTAAACAGGGAACTCCAATAGTATCTAGAGAATACAACACAAATTATTTTGAGACAAGAGAACCATGCCCATAGGCACAAACATCAGCCCTGGCTGATGACTAAGATGGCTATGGACAGAGCTTCAAGGAAATCTGGGTGAAAGCCTAATAAAAACTGAGCAGTAGAGCAGTAGACAAATTTAATTTACTTTTATTTTTAGTGCCAGAGACTGGGTCATGCACGAAGGAGAAATAAGGAAGCACAGAATCAGATGGAATTTTATTTAAAAGTAATTCAATCTCTCAGTCAAAAAACACTTCTTGGGCCATGTTCTATGCCTTGCAAGCTTCTCCCTACCCCCACAGCCCATCAGGTCTTTAACTTTCACTTCTCCTTCAAAATTCAGCTCAAGCATCACCCCCTTTAAGAAGTATTATCTGAAGTCTATCCAACATACTTGCACCATTTAAGAAACAAGCTATCGTTCATTCTCACTACCTGTCAGGCAGCTGATACATTCCCCCTTCAGACACCTCTTTGCACTATGCAAAGATTATTTTCTTTCTTAAAATTTTATTTCTTAGTACATGTTTGCAGTACATAATGATTACATTCATCGCAAGGAGTTGGTAAATATACATAACACATCTTAATTCCTTTTTTTTTGGTCTCCTTCCCCTCTGTTGCCTCCCTTCTCCCTCCATTTCTCAATTCTCTTGGTCCCTCAAAAGATCTATCTCTGTTTCCTACTACCTATTTTTTATTTTACTATATAGAAAGATTATTGATCTGTTTATATTTCTGACTTTGCGTATCCCACCAAGTCCTTCCAAGGCCTAGCTACTGCTTGTGGATCTCACTGGTGAATGAGTCAAAGCGCCTCTGAAGCGCAGGGTGCGAGAGATCAAAATCACTCAGAAGTTATCCCTTCTCAGAGGGAGGTCATGAGCTCCAGAGGAAAAAGGAGGTAAACAAGTAGCCTTCGCAACAGGATGAAGAATGTAGTAAATACATAATAGCATGGGCAAAGGAAGTTTCTGTGCTTTCTGGTACAAAGAGATTATGTGCACAAGCTTTATACAGAAAAACATGTTCGTGCCCTGAACCTGTCTTGCAACAAGCTTATCACACAAGCACACTGGCCTTACAAATAACCTGCATGTGTACCCTCGCTGTTCAGTCAGGAGTAGATGAGTACATGTGCACTTCATTTCTTTCTTTACAGAGGTGCATTGTATTTTTGGAGCTAGGTAATCTTCTGCTCAAGTAGCTGTTTCTCCAAGCTAAACTTAACCCAGAAGATAAGAGAGGGAGGCCAAAGGATAATCTACGACATCCACCATCTTTCATCTGCAATTATGTGTAAGCCCTGCAATCATTCCATTTTTTTCTAGTTTTCAAGCAATTGGTTCAGTTGGAAGTCAAGTTTATGAACAGACCGGCTGTAACCACAAAGGAATATTCCCCTGTGATTAATCACTAAAATGATAGGTGTTAAATAAATACAAAGGAAAGAGAGATTTCCAGCAAAGCAATTTTGCCTCGGTATTTGAAAGGAAAAGACAAGCAACTGAGTGGGTGGAGAAGAGTCAGAATTCACTAGGTGGTGGTGTTCTGCCTTCTGTTCTCTGTCTCTGGTGAAACTCGCTTTGCAAATTCCTTCTGAAAAGGCACAGGCAAGAAAGGAAAAGTACCTCCGCAGTTCATTCATGACCTTGAAGGCCTTCCCCATGTGGGCAGGGTTGACGGTGACTGTCCTCTGGTTCTTCTCATCCTCTCCAGCCTGTATCAGAAGCTGGGAGCTTGGTGTGATGCTGTGAACAGGAAGGAAAAGGAAGAGGAAAGAGAGATCACACATTAGTACACCGAGTCATCCAGCTGTCACGGGTGCACACGCAGACCCACCCTCCAGCAGTATCTCTGTTAGCCTGATCTGACCTACCAGGGAAGGAAGTATCTTGCAGGTATTGCTGCAGAATCTTTCAATGCAACGTGCCTTCTTCTAATGGAAGCCAGGTGCTCAGCTTGGCCATCAAGTACTATGTGACTTTGTAGGAGGTCCTTATGCTCCATCTCCACCACCAAAACTGAGGGAGACTATGTACCCTATTACTCAATACACAAGGATGTCTGTTCAGTTGACATTTAATGGCGGATACTGTGCACCAGCCACAGTATTTAAATTTAAAGGAAATACAGCAATAAACAAAGCACAGTCCCCGCCCTCACAAAACTTAGAGTTTAGTAGAAGAGAAAGCCAAGTAAATATTCAGATATCATATTTTAAGTATTTTGATCTATAGGAGCTACAGAAGAACAGAGAATAGGAAACTATCACAGTGACACCAGGCTGAAGGAAAACAACTTCCTAGAGGCAGAAACCAGCAGGAAGGATAGAGATTAGCCAGGTAAAATGAAAGATGGAGAGGCAGAGGACACAGTATGTGCCCAGATAAAAAGAGGACAAAAAGCAAAGTGTGTTCAAAGTACTGGAAGTTTGAGTCAAACTATAAGCAAGCTCAGGAGGAGTCTGTCCCAGGGGAGTGTGGATCTTTTTCTGAAACAATGAGAGGAAATCAAAGACTCTGAAACAGAAAAGTGGGACAGGAAGCAGATGAACAAATTCATGCTTTAGAAAGATCATGTTGCCTATGGTATGAAGAACAGTGGAACAAGAATGAACGCTTCTAAGAAACCACAATCCCATAGAAAGACTAAGGATTGTGATTCTTGTGGGAAGAAAGGTTATCCGTGTGCACTAAGTGAGCAGGTGATAACAAGCAAGAGTCACCCATAATCTCAGCACCTTCTCTGCTGAAATCAAGAAAAAAAAAAAAACACTCATATCTCTGTGGGATGCCAGACAGTGCCCAACTACTCCTGAACACTCCTTCTGGTGTGGGGAGATAGGAAGGAGGAAACAAAAGAATTAGCAAGGATATTCTTACCACATTGGTTAAACTATTCGATAGTTCCCAGGTGAAGTTTGGGACCACGTAGTTACCACTATTTGGACAAAGCTAAGCTTTGTTTTTCTGGGGATAGAACCTCTTCCACTTGCCTAGATTTGGGGACCCACAGTTTACCCCCACTCAGGGACACTGAAAGTTGTCTCTTCTGACTTTGCCTAGCAGGCCTCTGTCCATGCTTACCACCTAGACCCGCAAAGTAGACAGAGAAAGGGCCTGCTATGGCTAAGAGAATCTTTCAGAAGCCGAGGAGTCTCTATAAATCTCATACTGAGACTCATATCTATTCTAACATTCAAATATAAACATCATAGCAGACCATGGCTTCTATCATTCTAACAGGCTCCTCTTTTGACTTTCTTGCCTACTTTCAAATGTAATGCAAATGTAAATCATGGATAACTGAACATTCGGACTGTTTGGATTCAAATAAATTAACTGAGCAGAGAAGACAAATATCAAGAGATATACAAAGGAAGTTGGTTGGAGTTCTGTTTAAGCAGTTAAAGAAATCTCAAGCCAGAAAATGTGATGAGAGAGCAGAAGTACCCAGCAAAGATGAAAATGTCAGAAAATGTAAGAAATCCCACTAGTTACTGCTTTTCCTTATTCCAAAACCAGAGAGATAATAATCTCTATTTTCTACTTCAAAACCAGAAAGATTTTTATTTTCTACTGAAAGTTTAATATTTTTGCTTTTGATATTTGAACTCGTTTTACCTGATACTAATTTCTATGTCATAAGGTGAAAGAGTTACAATTTTCCCATAAGCTTGATTTATTGATACTTCTTATTTATCCCACTCAACTGTCCCGCCACCTTAGGTCATAAATTAAAGCTCCAAACATATAGAGATCTACTTTTGGATACTTTAAACCTTTCCACTGATTTGATCTGTCCATCTCTACATGAGCACTATTTATTTCTGTAGCTTCAGAATAAGGTCTGACATCTGATCACACAATTTCCCAATCCTATTATTATTTTTGTTGTTTTTGTTTTGGTACCAGGGGATCCCTGGCCCATTGATCATATTCTTTCTCTCCCCTGACGTTTTCTCTCCCTCCCTCCTCACAATTGTGAAGCAGGCGGCCACACCACTGAGGTGACTCCCTGGCCTTCCTATTATTCTTGAGAAGTATCTTGAGGATTTAAATTTCTTTACTCTTTTGGGTAAATATCAGTTATCAGCTTGTCAGATAACACAAAAAACCCTGATAGGATTTTGATAGAAACTACACTGAATTTATACATCAATTTGGATAGAACCAACATCTTTCTGATTATCATGCCTTCCTATTCATGAACATGGGCTCTCTTCCATTTATTTAGGTCCTCTTTAATGTCATTTCTCTTTTTCCATATGAACACATTACACTTATTTGATTAGATTTGTTCTAAGTATGCTACAGTTTTGTTATTTTATAATAGAAATTGAATCTTTTAACGTATATTTTGATTGTTATAATGTTGCAATTAATTTATGAAAGTTGATCCTATAATCAACCACTTTACCAAATGATTCTATTATTTCTATTTTCCTATTCAGTCAATCAGGTATTCTTTGTAGATATCCAATTACCTGTACATAATGCCAAAGTAAGCACTGTACCACTGAGATATACCCCAGCCATAAAGCCAGAGATTTTCCTCTTTTTCTCTACTTTTTGAAAGAAATGTGTTAGTGGCTAAGATGGTTATATAATCAAACTGAAAGAGTGATAGTGAACATTCTTATCATATCCCTAACCTTATAAATGTCTCCAATGTTCCTTCATTGTATACACTTGCTGAAGAATTTTTAGATTAGGTTTACCAAGTTCAGAAAATTCTCTTTGATTTTTATTCAGAGTCTTTATTCATAGTTATACTGAATTTTATCAAATAGCTTTATAAATTTAATGAGATAATGTGTAGTTGTTTTTCCTTAATGTTTTAATGCAGCGAATAACAACTTTTCTAATAATAAACCATATTTACATTCCTGAAATAAATCTGGAAACTATAAAATATTGTACAAATATTCATTATTAATATTGTCTTCAAACTGTGGAGAGATGTAAAAGCCAAGATGAGAAAACATAATTTGGTACAGACCAAGGGACCAAAAAGCCTAGAGGACAGATATTATTAGCTCTGCTTCACAAATATGGAACAGGTATGGATCAGATAGAGCCATAATGAAAATGCTGATAATCCAGTGTGGCTGATGAATAGTAAAGCTCATTCTTCCTGTTGCATTGCTCTTTGCACTTTTTGGTCCTTCTAAGAATAATATATGTCTTTGTTAATACAATGTTGTGTTTACCAAAAGGTCTCTAACATATATTACCAGGCCAGGGATTTAGCTCAGCGGTTCAGTGGCCTGCCTTGCAAGCACAAGGACCCGAGTTCGATCCCCAGTACCAAAAAAAAAAAAAAAAAAAAAAAAAAAAAAAAAAAAAAAAAAAAAAAAAAAAAAAAAAAAAAAAAAAAAAAAAAACCACATATATTGCCTATTATCAGGTGATTAAAATCCAACAAAATATAATTCAAACCAGAGCCTCTCTGAAAGAGCAGCTGACTTGCTGATGACCCCAGAGCTAGCTAGGAAAAGTACATCAGTTTCCACAATCCACCCAAAGCACTTTCTACCTTGACACACAGGGCAGGTTTGACATCAGAAGGAACCAAAGGCTACCTTTTCCCCTTGCTCTTAACACTGTGAAGACACAGGAAGTCAGAAGTGGATTCTGGGCACTTGGTTTCTGAAAGGTGCAAGTTTCTTGACAACTCATTAACTTTGCAGAGAGCAGCACACTAAGGAGTCTGAGTCTCATATAAGATCAAATAAATAAGAAAAAGCAGGGGTGGGATGTGAGCTCGAATGTCCTCAAGCTTTTTTCACCATAGCCTGCCCCTTTCAACAATATCATGTGTGCACGTCCATAAGTGGACACACACAGCCTGGAATCACATGCCGTGGCCCAGAGCTGCCAGGTTCTGCCATTTCCTGCCCTAAAACTTTCCCCCTTCTGCTCATATCAGATCTTAATTACTTAGTCCCAAAATGACGATGCATTTCCCCGCAGCAAGGTTCAATTCCCAGATTTCTTTGATCTTGATCCTAAACAAGGCTTGTAGAGTCCCTCTCCCTACCTGTGAAACAAGTCTTCACTGAGTTATATTCCCACTGTCCTATCCAAGCTCTTTGGGAAGACTCAGCTGCAAGATATTTTTGAGGAAAAACATTTATTAGTAAATAAGCTTACGCCAAGCACAAAATTAGTGATTTCCTCAAAAATAAAATCTGGCTCTGGCCCCCATTAAAAATCACACCAGCCTTCCACATCTAGCCCAACTGAGGTGATTCAGCCTTTAGGGTTTTATGATCTGGCCCGAGGTTTGCAGCCTTTCAAATCTCATAATACTCAATGCTTATTTATATGCGCTCCTGCCACCAGACCTGAAGCTCTGGCTGCTGAACAAGAGAGCAATCATCTTACTCCAGTGCCCAGAGTTCCAGCAACATTCAGGTGGGACCACAGTTAAGATTCAAATGGCTTGGTTCTGGCACCTGCCTCATAAGCGCAAGGACCTGAGTTCGATCCCCAGTACAAAACAAAAAGATTCAAATAGGTAACCCATCACAGATGCAGTGAGGGGTTTGCAGGCTAGGCAAAACCCCTTTTTCTTGCAGGAATATACAGAAATGGTGATCTAAGCCATTTTGCGTACAAGCAACAGCAAATCAGAATATATCAAACTACACAACTTTGTCAAACCTCTAAGTATTAGGCTTAATAACTTAATTAATTTCACACATTACCCTTTTGCTAGCAAACACACTTGAACCAACATTGGTGTCATGGTGAATCCCCTGCAGTGAATGATTCCTACATCATAACGTAAACACTGTACCATTTTTTTCTTTTGGTTTTGTTTTTGTTTTTTGGTACTGGGAATCGAACTTGGTTGTGGTTGAACAAATAAATTTTTGTTGTTGTTTTGGTACCAAGGATCATACTCTGGACCTTGTGCTTGCGAGGCAGGAGGCACCAGTGAGCTAAATCCCTGGTCCTACTGTACCATTTTTAAAGGAACAGTTCAGCTTTGCCTCCTCTAGGAAACCCTCTAAATA